GGGGGGTTATGATATTTCATAGAAAAATGTGTGTTTGTCTAGCTTTTTCTCGCATATCACATGAATTATGATTTTACTGCTTTAAAGCAGCCAACAGTTAGACTACACATTTTTGGTTTCCTTTGTTAAATGTTTTCTTTTAGTCATCTCTTCCGCTCAAGTTCTTTTCTTTTTCCAAATCAAATACAAGTGCATTGGAATTTTCTATTGCCAACTTCTCATCATCTATTAAATTCTTGCTTCATGAATCTTCTTCTTTATTGAATTTGTTTGGTGGGGTGAACTTACTAAGTCTATGTTATGTATAAAGAGTGAAATGTATTATGCTTTGATGTCTTTCCTTTTGCCATTTGAAGTGTAGAACAACATTCTGATGATGTTGATAAATGTTATTCATTATGTTATAGCATCTGTCACTAAAATTTTCTGAAACATTATATTGTTAGATCATGTGTAGAGCTGTGTCCTAAATTCCACGTGAAGAAAGCATGGATTCTAGGATTTTCCTTAAGGACTCAAAAGAATGTGCTTTCACCCAGCATCTAACATTCACACCAGACTTCGCTTTGGCAATACCACAGAGTTACGTTGGCGATTTTCTTTAAATAGCAAAAGAATGCAAAACTATGACAACTGGTTATCTAGTGCTGATGTATGACTGCAGAATACATAATTTAATGAGCCATTTTACATGGATGAAAGTAAGGAGAGGAAAAAATATGTGAACTCTTTGTTATCTTTTATTAAACGGCTGTACTATTTATTGCTTCTATTTCCCATTCAATTGCTGTGCTAATGTTTGTTTATTGTTTCTATGCTATTCATATTTTTTCTTTCACCCTTCTAATTCATACATTACATAATGTACTCGCATATTTGCTACTAAGTTGACATATTGGGCCCGTGCATAGCACGGGCAGCCTCATCTAGTATGTACATGTGACTGTCACGGCCCAAAATTCATAAAGTTTGTGATGGCACCGGACACCACTGTCAGGCAAGTCAACAATAATTACGTAATTGGGTTCTTATTTTTATTATTTTTGAAATCATATTTTCCTTCAATTTAAATAGTAAAGAATAGGAATTTACAGAGTAATTAATAATACTTTCAACGAATTCAATACAGAACAACCCATAATCATCTCAAAACTCGGTGTCACAAATGCATGAGCATTAACTATGAATATAAAATAAAATACAGCTGTTCGGAATACAATTTGGACAGGAAAAATGTAAATACTCTTTAGGAGACTCTGCCGGCTGCGGGTCATAATGTGGAATGCAGCTCACGTAAGTCCCCGTATGCATATACGCCTTTGCTCTCACACTAGTCACATATGTACCTGTACAAAAATGTGCAGCAAGTGTAGTATAAGTACGTAAGCAACGTGTACCCAGCAAGTATCTAGCCTAATCCTAGATAAGTAGTGACGAGGGGTCGACATCGACACTTACTAGTGGTCCAATAGTATCATGTACAGTAAAGGGGTAAGTAAATATGAGGCAGCGTAAATAAATGAGATAAACAAGTATAGATTATATGGTACGAATACCCCTCTTTACGAGGAACTCGAGCTCTCAATTTGGAAATTTTCCTCCTTAACCGGAGCATATATATGAATATAGTGGATCTCATCAGATAGATTTTCATAACCCAAATCGGGAAAACTTACAGATACTCTGGCTTCTTGCCAAATATTACGCACGATTCCATGAGGATATGATATAGAAAATGTCGAGGCGTACGGCCCGATCCAACATAATAATAAAACTGTACATTGCCGAGGGTCGAACGGGCCGAACCATATGATAAATCAATTAACCTGCCGAGGCGAACGGCCCGCTCCCATGAGAGAGTGGTACATAAATCCTGCCGAGGCGAACGACCCGATCCCATAAGAGTAAGGAGCTTTGACCGCACTCACGAATAAACGTGTGAGTTGTAATTTCTTTAACAAAAACTTACCAAGAAGTGTATATATATATATATNCTCGTGAAGTCTCTACAATTACAAGCCTAGTTTCAAGTAGTAATGTAAAACATAGGAATTTAATAGGAGAGACTGCTCAAATAATACAGCTATAGCATGAGTGAACCTAAGCCTACCAGGATAATAACATGAATGTAGCTACGTACGGGCTCTCGTCACCTCGCGCGTACGTAGCCCCCACAACAAGTAGCACACATCCATATGCAACATCTAGGGGTAATTTCCCCCTCACTGAGTTAGACAGGAGACTTACCTCGCTCTGAAATTCCATAACCGGCTCCAAAACCCTCTAACATCTCAAACTGATGCTCGTCGCTCCAAAACTTGTCAATTAAGATGCAACCCAATCAAAATGTACTCTAATACTCATAATTAATCAATTTATAGCAATTTCCAACTCCGCTCGAAAAGTTGATAAAAGTTACCCTCGGGCCCACGTGCCTGGATTTCGAAAATTTTCGAAGATAAACACTACCCATAGCATTACGAGCTCAAATATATAATTTATTCTCAATTTCATGCCCAAATTTGTGGTCAAAATCCAAAAATATAATTTTTAGGTTTTCTACCAAAACCCCCACAATTTCTACTAATTCTGAAGTCTAAATTCTTATATAATCAAAGTATTTAACTTGCAATAGGTGGGAATCACTTACCTTGACATAGATGACGAAAATCTCTCCTTGAAACTCTCCAAAATCGCCCCAACCAAGTGAAAAATGGGAAAAATGAGCCAAGTCTCGTTCTTAAATTAATCTCCCAACGATATTTTCGCACCTGCGGCGTCGCTTCTGCGACCACGCCTCCGCTTCTGCGGAACTCACCCCAAACACAAGGCCTTGCACCTGCGGAAAGACCCCCGTTTCTGCGACATCGCAGGTGCGAGCTTCCTTCCGCTCCTGCGTCTTCTTCCGCTTCTGCGCCCCACATAGATGCGGCCAAAACTCCGCACATGCGGTCCTTCCCCTGGCTTACTTGCTCCGCTTCTGCGACCCCTGGTCCGCTTCTGCGGCCCCGCACCTGCGGCCAAAACCTCGCAGGTGCGGTTACACCAGGTGACAACAACTTCAGCATTTCATAAGGCCAAATTCGATCCGTTAACCATCCGGAATCCACCCGAGACCCTCGGGACCTCAACCAAATATACCAACACGTTCCAAAACACATTACGAACTTAGTCGACTCTTTAAATTACATCAAACAACGCTAAAACACGAATCACCCTCCAATTCAAACTTAATGAACTTGAAACTTCAAACTTCTATAATCGATGTCGAAACCTATCAACTCATGTCCGATTGACCTCAAATTTTGCACACAAGTCACATTTGACATTACAGACCTAATCCAACTTCCGGAATCGGAATCCGACTCCAATATCAAAAAGTCCACTCCCGGTCAAACTTTCCTAAAACCTTTAAATTCCAACTTTCGCCAAAGGGCCTCAAAATGACCTACGGACCTCTAAATCCACATCCGGACGCGCTCCCTATACCAGAATCACCATACGGAACTATTCCCAGACTCAGAATCCCAAACGCACATTGATAACATTGAAATGCACTTCAGCTCAAATCTATGAAATTCTTCCAAAATGCCAACTTCCATAATAGGCGCCGAAACGCTCCCCGGTCATCCAAAATTTGCTCCCGGCATACGCCCAAGTCCAAAATCATCATAGGAACCTGTTGGAACCTTCAAATCCTGATTTCGAGGTTGTTTACTCAAAAGTCATACTTTAGTCAATCATCTAACTTAAGGCTTTCGAAATTAGAATTTTCTTTCCAAATCAACTCCGAACTTCCCGAAAAAATTCCGACCACACGTACAAGTCATAATACTTGAAGTGAAGCTGCTCAGGGTCTCAAACTGCTGAATGACGCGCTAGGGCTCAAAACGACCGGTCGGTTCGTTACATTCTCTCCCACTTAAATATACGTTCGTCCTCGAACGTGCTAAGAACTGCTCTGAGTTGTCCGAAATCGTTGTTTAACACCTCGTGCACCTACCCGTGCTACCACAACCCAGTTGAGCACATTTGCTCAAGTAAAACCTGAAAATCCTCCCTTTTATCTAGTCCAATAAGCCTTAGAACCGAATTCCAACATCTGAAATCCTCTACCAGCTCTGTTTCCAACATACGAACGCCGTATTAATCACTACACGATGCACCAATACATGTTCGCATACCTTCGCGGAATCCACACCGTGCACCACATAATTCACATGACCATAATAATATCCCTTGATAACAACAACCGAAAATCCACGAATCTGATGCTCACAACACACCTCATGACCCATATAAGTCCTGTTCCAACTCTTGCAATACTGCCACGACAGAGAAGATGTAAAGAACTCATAACGACCTGCCGAATCACAATATATTGAGTCTCTCCTCTCGACAAGAACCATTACCTCATTATGGACCGAATAACAATATTTACTCTTTAATATGCTTCGTATAAATCTGATCGCACTGATCCCAGGTCCAATAATCTCGTCTCACCCAGTACAAGCTGTTCAGGTAGGAAGCCACCTCAGACACTGCCAAAAGTCTCATATGATGCCACAATGTTCCAACAAGCTACAAACTCGAATGTGACACAAATAGTGAGGACACGTGCGACCGGATCATGCGGACGGCCACCAGTACCACCAGTTAGGACCACGAGAGGCCGGGGCCGCGGTAGAGGCCGAGGTGTGGCTCGTACTACAGATAGAGCAGCACATGTGGAGCCACCAGTCGCTCCATCTGAGGAGCAGGTACCAGATGTTGTTGAGCTGGCGGGGGCAGCTTAGGCACTAGTGGTGCCCATCGTGATTCCTAGCGTTTAGAAGGCCTTAGCCCAAATTTTGACTGTTTGCACGAGCTTAGCTCAGGCGGTTTCGATTTTGGTTCCAGCTGCACCAGCCACTTTACAGTCCGGGGGAGGTGCCCAGACTCCAGCCGCCCGTACTCCTGAGCAGCTAGCTCAGGGACTCCAGACACCCTGTGTATTGCCAGTTCAGCCGGTTGCTGCTGCTCGGACCGGAGTTTGTCAACTTATGATTGATGAGTTGAAGAAAAGGCTAGAGCAGTTTGGGAGGCTCAAGCCTCCAGAGTTTAGTGGAGTAGAGTCAAAGGATGATCAGGATTTTCTAGATAGGTGTCAGCAGTTTCTTCGCATAATGGGTATTTTGGACACCAATGGGGTTGTATTTACTACTATTCAGCTGACTGTGGAAGCTTACAGACGGTGGAAAACTTTTGAGTTGAGCAGGTCATCTGATGCAGCGCCACTTACATGGCATGTGTTCTCAGTTCTCTTCTTGGAGATGTTTGTCCCACCGACTCGTAGAGAGGACTTGCATAGGTAGTTTGAGCAGCTACGCCAGGAGGGTATGACACTCACTGAGTATGAGATAAGGTTCGCAAATTTGGCTCGTCATGCAGTATGGTTGATTCTCACTAAGAGGGAGAAGATTAGGAGGTTCATTGATGGCCTCAACTAAGGTTTACGATTCAGTATGGCTCGAGAGGTTGCGACAGATGCTAGGTTTGACCAGGTGGTCGAGATTGCTAGACTCTTAGAGATGGGTTGGAGGTAGGAGCGTGGGGAGCGATAGGCCAAGAGGCCTCATAGCTCAGGTGGTTTCAGCAGCGCCTCATATGGAGGCCAGTTTTATTACAACAAAAGTTGTTCTTCTAGACTCATTCAGGCAGCTCGCCATGTTCCTCGTGGTTCTTCAGTTAGCCACAGTTCCTATAGTGCACGCCCAGCTCAGTCATCAGTCAGTGTATTGCCGGCATAGAGTT